TTCTTTTTTTTTTTTTTTTGGTACTGGGGATCGAACTCGGGTCCTTGTGCTTGCGCAGCAGGTGGTGAAACCACTGAGCTAAATCCCCAGCCCTGTGCCACAGGTTTCTAAGCTTCTGTTCATTTTCTAAAAATTACTTCTCTCTGTTGATCAAATTTGATCATTTAAGGGCCAGGGATTTAGCTCAGTGGTTCTGCCACCTTCCTGGCAAGCACAAGGTCCTAAGTTTGATCCCCGGTACTCCCCCCAAAATTTTGATCATATATATTGATCTGTCTTAAAGTTCATGTCTTTTTCTGCTTTCATCTTTGTTCTACTATTGATTCCACACACTGTGATTAGTTTATATGTCTGTTAAGGCCTTGTAAGTTCTCTCTGCATTTTTTATTTAACTTTACAATGAATTTGTTGTAGAAGGAAGTTTATTTGTCCCAAATGTTTTTCCATAGTGTGGATTTTCTAATTGCATCTCTATTATCATTTAACAATGTTCTTTGACCTCTGTATTGTCTGAAGGTTGGAAATTGGGTCTAGAATCAAGTTTAGCAAACTAAAGGATAGCTGTTCAGTCTGGGTTTCTCTTGTTTTTATAAATATTGTTGAAATACAACCATATTTACATGATGTCTATGGCTGTGTAAATGCTTCAGTGGTAAAGCTGAATAGTTAAAACAGACTATAGGGCTGGCAAAGCCAAAATGTTTATTATCTGTTCCTTTATAGAAAGTCTGCTGATTCAGAGAATTAATTGATTAATTAATTGTAGCACTGGAGGTTGAACCCAGGGCTTTTGCACTGAGCTACATTCCCTGCCCTTTTAATATTTTATTTTGAGAGAGGATCTTGCTAAATTGGCTAGGCTGGGTTTGAACTTGTGATCTTCTCCTTTCAGCCTCTTAAGTAGCTGGGATTACAGGTGCACACTAACATTCCTCAGAGATTTTATTTAATTTATTTATTTTTGGTTTTTTGAGACAGTCTTGCAATGTAGTTCAGTTGGTCTTGAACTCACTATGTAGTCCAGGTTGGCCTCAAGCTTATGGTGAGCTGCCTCAGCCTCCTCAGTGCTGGGATTACAGGTGTGCACCACTACACCTGACTCTCCCTAGAGATTTTAAATTCTTTTTTTTTGGCAAGTAAATTTAATAGGTGGTGCTGTTTATTCAGGGCCTGTGTATGGTAGGCAAGCACTCTATCACTGAACTACATCCCTAGCCTTTAAAAAATTTTACTTTGGGCTGGGGATGTAGCTCAGTGGTTTCGCC